AAAGGAAAGACATTGTGCACAAGCTTCTGTTTAAAACTTCGAAAAGATGATTCTAGATTCTCTTTATTTTGCATCATATCATTTATCATAAACTTTGAAACTCTCATAATCTTAGACTTAATTTCATAGAAATATTTCACTATGTTTTGTTTCATATACTTGTTCTTGTTCTGTGTTGCTTGCATATCCCAGTTTACCCTTCCCATCATTTTGTCTTCGTAGCTGCTCAATATAAACCCCTCTGTGGTTTGAGAGTATTTTGATCAACGTTTTTTGAAGATTATAATTGCATTCTTATTATTACATTGGCTATTTCAGTTTTCTAATTTCTAAGATTATCCCTCAAGAGAATAGCTTTAGCTTACTCCAATTTTCAGAAGATTGTCAGCCTTCTATTTTCTTATTTGTATGGAATATACATCATATGCATCCAAATTTTTCTCGTCAGATAATTAAAAAACACTGCCTGACTTTATTTCATGCTGTTGACCTGGATATTATTCTTTGACAGTACACGAGTTTTTGGAGTTTCAACAGAGTCTATGCAGCTTTCTTCCGACCCCAGAGGTAATTGTGTGCCTACAATACTTCTGATGATGCAAAGACGCTTGTACTCCCAAGGTGGTTTGCAGGTACCATGAACTTGTAAATATTTCTTAGTTTTCTTTTTTTCCTTTGTTCTGTGCTTAAACAAATATATAACTACAGAGTTACAAAGTCATCATATGCTGATACTGTTTCCAATCTGGGAAATACTGATATAGTGCACTTGCATTGAAGGCTGAAGGAATCTTCAGAATTAATGCCGAGAATGGCCAGGAAGAGTTTGTCAGGGAACAATTAAATAATGGGGAGGTACCAGACAATATTGAGGTTCATTGTTTAGCAGGTCTTATTAAGGTACTTTAACTGAATCCTTTCTTCAGACCTTTAGTAATTAGAAGATATTAATGTTTGTAAATTCTTATCAGAATGTAGTGCTAATATATCACCGACTAACTCATGACCTTTCCGAAGGTTTCCACTTTAGGGGATTTCAGGCCTTACTGGGGAGAGATCTAAAGATTGATCAGTGTTACCGGCAATACATGCGCCTGCATACTTTGTTATAATAGTTATCAAAATAGTTAAATTAATTTGTACGTGGAAAATTTTACTTTGTTAAATCTATTTTCAAAATAATTTATCAGTAGTGCTAAAACAGGTATATTTTGCCTATTATTTTCTGTGAAACACGAGAACTATTCTGCTTCAGTGCAATTATTTTCTATTTTCATTGTTCTGGTTGTTCTAATCCAGAGGTATGCTCATGTGTCTAATCCCAAATGTGCCCCTTACTGCATTAGGGAAGTTCCGACCTATATTGCATAAACTTCTTACAATGGTGCTTTGCAGGCTTGGTTCAGAGAACTCCCGAGAGGAGTGTTGGACTCTCTCTCACCAGAAGAGGTTATGCGGGCTCAATCGGAAGAAGAGTGCACTCAGCTTGTATGGCTCCTTCCACCTACCGATGCTGCTCTATTGGATTGGGCAATTAACTTAATGGCTGATGTCGCTCAGCTCGAAGATCTTAACAAAATGAATGCACGTAATATTGCCATGGTTTTCGCACCAAATATGACGCAGGTGAGCAGAAATATGGTTTTTTGTTGACTAAATGTGAAAAAATATGTCGCTTAAGCATGTTTAGGAAGTGTTTATAAATGGTTTAAATTATGAATAGATACAAATGAATAGTGTATAAGTAAGTAGTATTTGTCGGGTCCTTGAAATATGTGGATGCAAACGGTCTTGAGTGTTCATAAACCATTTACAAACATAAGCCGAACATTGATTGCTTTTTTAGATAAAGTGGTTTAACATAGTATCAAACAAGTCCTAAATTTAATTCCTGTCATCAGTCGCTAATGAAAATTGTGTTGCATGCACGTGAGGGGATGTTGAAATTAAATTTAAATAAATAATTTTGTTATTTACCTAACAACTTAAGCTTTTAGATAAGGTGATTCAATAGTCTAGAGTGAAATTTATACTATACATCAAGAGTCTTTTTCCACAGTTTTTTCTTTTCACTTCACACTTACACTAATTTGGTTCAACGATGCTAATATTTGCTAGCTGCAGATGGCAGATCCTTTGACAGCATTGATGTACGCGGTCCAAGTAATGAACTTTCTAAGGACATTGATAATCAAAACCTTGAGAGAAAGAGAAGATTGTATGGTTCAAACTGATCCTGCTTCAAAGTTAAAGCCTTCTGATGGAGATGATAGTGATGGCACATCCAAACCAATAATTAACGTGGCCAACACAGAGAACCAATTTAATGTTGCTCAAGTATCACCATCAAAGTACAACCCAAACTCCTTCCCGGCTGAATCAAAAACTGGTAATTTTACACATGGTTTTCTTAATTCTATCAAGAATATCCTTCCGGGTGGAAAATGGCATTTGGTTGACACAGAAATTAATAAACTTGAAAAAGATAACACTTTGTTGGGAAGTGAATCACTCCCATGCTCAAAAAACCAGACAATGAGAACCGTAAAATCAAGCAGTTCAAGTGTTAAGAAAGTAGGTGAAACGATTATTCAGCAATCAGTTGTTCATGTCTCTATCGACACAGAAAAGAGCAAAGAGTTAGGGATCACTAGCCGGATAAATTCGCCAACAGAACGGGTTGGAGCATGGAGATGAAGTTCGTGGTGCGACACTTTATTGGACGCGTCAATCATTTACTTTACAAACTTAATTTTTTTTTTTACGTGTGAGATTCATTTATTCTCTGTTAAAATTATGGGTGGAGTTACTCTCATGCTACTGTATTGAGTCTCTCTGTAATGGATCTCTTCTAAATCATGTTTAGCCTAGTAAGACCTGCATTTTGAGTGTCATTTATTTTCACATGTACACCAAGCTTTCTTTTGATAATGTAAAAATGTTTGGGAGAAGGAAAAATTGTTCTTAATTTTCTGCAGATTAGCATAAACAGAAAGAACTAGTACAGAAAAACCACAAGTAAAAATTGTATGCTTTTCAGAAAAATGGCAAGCTCTGAGGGATTTCCAGTTGTTGATGCGGAAAAAGAGTTGAATCCAGGCCGGAACAAGGATGTTCAGGTTGATCCCATTTCATGAGAAGTTGCTGCTTCTAAGGTAATTACAATTACAGCCATCAAAATTATCTATCTAATGGTTTGTGTTGACCTCGTTTCCGGTTAGGGGCCATGTGGATAACAGATATCGGACCCACCCGCGCATATGTAAGCAAAAGTCTAACACGCTAAGACACACACAGTGTCTAGAACGGTTTGAAAAAAGGCGTGTGAGCAGCTCAAAGGCGCGGGATGACAATGTTTGGAATCCGACGATACATTTGTAAAATGATTGTACAATAATTACCAATCTGATTGATGAACATTATGGAAACTTAATTGTATTCGTAAGAGAGTAAAAATGAGATGAATTGTTTTGCATTTATTCTGGTATGGAGTTTTGTATGTGAAATTGCATTCTTCCCCAATTGATACAAGAAGGGGGGAGGGTTATAGTATTACACATGAGATGGTGTCCACTGGATGAGGAGCCATGTGACTTCATTTCCTCAATCAAAGCATCTAATTCCAGCCTGTGACGCATTTAATGTTTTTACACATAGCAGTCGTCATATTGACAAGACAAGACATTTACATTTTTACAAAAGGTCACATCAATCATTCGGATAAGATCTTTATGTAAAAGACCTCTTGGAAGAAGTGAACATGGAAGATGATCCATTATGGTTAAAAGGCTTTTGCTTCGGTAATACGGGCCTCGGCCACTTAAACAGGGCTTCGGCCATTATACAGTGCTTTCACTTCAGGGTCTCGACCACTTATATAGTGCTTCCACTTCAAGGCCTCGACACTACACAGTGGTTTCGCTTCAAGGCCTTGACACTTACACAGTGCTTCCACTTCAGGGGCCTTGACACTCACATAGTGCTTCTGCTTTAGGGCCTAGGCCACTTATACTGTGATTCTGCTTTGAGGCTTCTTGAGCCTCAGTTTGAGGCGTGGATTTCTTCTTGAGCCTCGATTTTTAGGCATAACAATAGTCCCCCAAGTCTATATATGATTATTTATGTTATACATGGACTTCTTATTTTCAGAAGTAATATTTTAATGTGGCATGTCTGTTATTTTAACTTGGTAGTTTCACCTGTTATTGCACTTTTGAGACAACATAATAGTCCCCCAAGTCCAGATGTAGATATTTATATCATATTTTTTAACAGTGAAATAACATGGTGAAAATTTGCATAAGCACTTATCATGGATGTCATCTAAAAACCTGAAGTGTGGTAAGTCTTTTGCTTTATGATTTATTGAAAATTTGATGAAGATGCTGGAGTCATGTGCTGAAGCTATCTATTTGAAAAAAAATATTTTCTTTGAATTTCTAATGAGCTTAGGTCCCTATTCTCTGAAGCTGTGTACATCAAGTTTTTGCTGAAATTTTATGAAGGAAGTAGAGGCTTCTCTCATGACTCCCCTGCATAGTGGATGGTTAATCCATATAGAGGCTTCTCCTACGACTTTCTTGTACATGAAAGGCATGTGCTATTTGCGACGAATTAGGAGGTGGCCCCCTTTGGGATCTAGCTCTTCGTTGAAGTGACTTCGCTTTCCTGTACGGTGAATAGTTCATCCATGCAAAGGCTCTCCCATGACTTTTTTGTACATGGGAGGAATGTGCTATCCTCTTCGACGAATTTGGAGGTGTTCTTCTTTGGGATCCAGCTCTTTGTTGAAGCATCCACACTTTCTTACATGGTGGATGATTCATCCATATAGAGGCTTCTCCCATGACTTTTTGTACATGGGAGGCATGTGCTATTCACTTTGACGAATTATGAGGTGCTCCCTCTTGGGATCCAGCTCTTCGTTAAAGCGCTTTCCTGCACTGTGGATGGTTCATCCATGCAGAGGCTTCTCTCATGATTTTTTGTACATGCGAAGCATGTGCTATCTGCTTCGATGAATTAGGAGATGGTCCCCTTTGAGATTCAACTCTTCGTTGAAGCGCCCACGCTTCCCTACACGGTGGATGGTTCATCCACGCAAAGGCTTCTCATATGACTTTTTGTACATGGGAAGTATGTGCTATCCACTTCTACGAATTAGGAGGTGGTCCCCTTTGGAATTCAACTCTTCGTTGAAGCGTCCACCCTTCCCTACACAATGGATGGTTCATCTATGCAAAGGCTTCTCCTATGATTTTTTTTGTACATGGGAAGCACGTGTTTTCTACTTCAACGAATTAGGAGGTGGTCCCCTTTGGAATCCAACTCTTCGTTGAAGTGCCCACGCTTCCTTACATGGTAGATGATTCATCCTTATAGATGCTTCTTCCATGATTTTTTGTACATAAGAGGCATATGACACAACCTTAGAAAATTTGGGCCTAAGGCGTTCATGCTTCCTTGCATGGTGGATGATTCATCCATAATATAAACCCTCTGAAGATAAATGGACTTGTAATGAAACATCTCGTATGGTGAGGCATTTCCCTGAGCAAGGAATAAATATCGAGCTGACGGCTCTCTCAAACTATCGGAGACTTGTAAGTTAGCCTCGAGTGGACAAAGGCTTATAGTTAGGCTCAATGATATTAAGTAGCGAGGAATAAACATCTAGCGAATGCAGGAATAAACATCCCACGCATAGCTCTCAAACTATCGAAATTTTATAAACTGGCCTCAGAATGACGAGGTCTTATAGCTAGGCTCGATAATAGTGGGAGTCGAGAAATAAACATCTCGCAAAGCCATAAATAAGCATCTAGCAAGGTGCGGGATAAACTTCCAGCATATAGCTCTCAAACTATCGGAGTCTTATAAACAGGCCTCAGAATAATGAGGTCTTACGACTAGGCTCGACAATAGTGAGAGTCGAGAAATAAACACCTGGCAAAGCAAGGAATAAGCATTTGGCGATGTAGGGGATAAACTTCCCGCATATAGCTCTCAAACTATCGGAGTCTTATAATCTTGCCTCAAAATAATGAGATTTTACAGCTAGGCTCAACGGTAATAAGTAGCGAAGAATAAACATTTTGCGAAACCAGGAATAAGCATCTAGCGAGGCAAGGGATAACCGCATATAGCTTTAAAGTAATCTTATAAATTACCTTGAAATTACAAGGTCTTACGTAGCAAAGGTACTGAAGCGTAGGAAAAAATGAGGCCTTAAATGGTGAGACTGAAGCATAGACAAGGATGAGGCATTGCATGCTGAAGTATTAAAGCATAGGCAAAGATGAGACCTTGTACGCTGAGGTACTGAAGCACACGCAAAATAAGAGGTCTTGTATGCTAAGGCATTGAAGCACAGGAAAAATATAAGGCCTTATATGCTAAGGCACTGAAGCACATGTAAAATAAGAGACCTTATATGTTGAAGAATTGAAGCATAAGCAAAATATGAGGCCCTGTATGCTGAGGCATTGAAGCATAGGCAAAATATGAGGCCTTGTATGCTGAGGCATTGAAGTATAGGCAAAGATGAGGCACTGAAGCACAAGTAAAATAGAAGGTCTTGTATGCTGAGGCATTGAAACACATGCAAAATATGAGGCCTTATATGCTGAGACATTGAAGTATAGGCAAAATATGAGGCCTTATATGATGAATCGGTGGAAGCATGCTTGTACATAGGCAAAATATAAAAATTACCTTTAAGTCCTTCAGTAATTTCATGCCTAGGTCCCTCAACTTTTGATTTGGTATGTTTTGATATCATATTTTGCATTTTATTTCAATCATACCTTTGATATATGGCATTCATGGTCCTTTTACTTTCGAAACATCTACACTTTAGTGACCAAGTTCACATTTTTGTACGCTTTTAGTCATTTTCTCTTCCTTTATGTTGCTTCACTCCTTTAGAGGCCTCCCATTTGTAAAATGGATCTTCCAATAGCTTCTTCACTGGAAACCTCTCCTTTTAGGGGGTTTTCTTGTTCAATGTCACTTCTTCAGTGACATCTCCCTTTTTAGGGGGTCTTCTTATTCGCGGCCTCTTTTTTATAGGCCTCCTTCCTTTTTAGGGGATCTTCTTCCTATTTCATTGCATTTGGAGCTGTTGTACAGGGTCTTTTTCTATATGATGATGTTTCTCATGTTGGTAGCCATTCAACCACTTCCCAAGTAAGTTGGGCAGTTACTATCATTCCATCTCATCTATGCTAGTGATGAGGTTGATTATGTCTAATTGGAGAAGTTTTCCAGGTGACCCCTTCTTCAGTGGTCTTCCTAACCCTTCTAAGTGGGACTACCTCATTGCTTGAGCTCATTTTTCGTACAAATCTTTTCTTCAAAGATACGAGGGTCATACAAATGGATTTCTATCTCAACATATTTCTTTTTCAACAAATATCAATAATCCAAGTACTGATGTAAACTCAAAAGCTTTTTCTTGGGGCTTCCAATTGTTCTTTCTTCAAAAACAAATCATTTTCAAGGGGATGCCCAAATATTCTTTTACAGTAAGCTTCTACCACACGGTTACTCATGATTATGATATGTTTTTTCATAGATGAAGCCAATCTATTGACCTCATTTTCAATTAGGGCCACATGAAAAGTAGACGTCGGACCCACCCGCACGCATATGAGCAAGAGTCCAACACGCTAAGACACACAAAAGGTCCAGAACGGTTTGAAAAAGGGTGTGGGAGTAGCTCAAAGGTGCGAGATAGCAACGCTTGGAATCGACGATACATTTGTAAAACGATTGTACAATGATTAACAACTGTGATTGATGAACATTATGCAAACTTAATTTTATTCGTAAGAGAGTAAAAATGAGATAAATTATTTTGTATTTATTTTGGTATGGAGTTTTGTCTATGAAATTGCTAGAGATGGCAATGGGCTCGGCTTAAACACACGAGCTTGGTTTGGCCCATGAGCTCATGATTTCACGAGCCACGAGCTCGTGGGCTGAGCCGAGCCAAGCCCATGAGCTCATTAATTTTTTTATTTTTTTTGAAAAATTTCAAACTTTTCTTCACATTTTTTAGCCCACAAGTTGAGCTCGTGGGCTTGTCCCATGAGCCACTCGCGATCTCGATGAGCCAAGCCTTGCTCGGCTCGATAGTTCCCACCCCTGCTCAGCTCGTGCTCAGGCTTGTCATTTGACGAGCTCGAGCCGTCCACGAGTCGAGCTTTAATGAGTCGACGAGCTGCTTGACTCGTTTGACATCCCTAGAAATTGCAGGTATCCATTGGATGAGGAGTCACGTGGCTTCATCTCTTCAACCAAAGCATCTAATCCTAGCCATCATTTTGATCCCCTACCCTGTGACGCATTTAGTGTTCTTACACATAGCATTCATCATATTGACAAGACAAGACATTTATATTCATTACAAAATGTCACATCAATCATTCGGATAAGATCTTTATGTAGAAGATCTCTTAGAAGAAGTGAACATGGAAGATACTCCATTATGGTTAGAAGGCTTCTGCTTCGATAATGCCAACCTTGGCCACCTACACAAGGCTTCAGCTTCATGGCTTTGGCCATTATACAATGCTTCTGATTTAGGGCTTCGACACTTACACAGTGCTTCCGCTTCAAGGCCTCGGCCACTTACACAGTGCTCCCACTTCAGGGTCTCAGTACTACATAGTGTTTTCGCTTCAGAGCCTCGACACTTACACAGTGCTTCCACTTCAGGGGCCTCGACACTCACACAGTGCTTCCGCTTTAGGGCCTCGGCCATTTATACAGTGCTTCCACTTCAACGCTTCTTGACGGTTTAAGGCGTGGATTTCTTCTTGAGCCTCGATTTTTAGGCATAACAATAGTCTCCCAAGTCTAATTATGATTATTCATGTCATACGTGGACTTCTTATTTTCAGAAATAATATTCCAATGTGGCATGTTTGTTATTTAACTTGGTAGTTCCACCTGTTATTGCAGTTTTGATACAACAGTATGTATATTAAAGAAGAAAAAGAAACTCTATTGGACCCAAGTTTGCATTGTTGGTAGTGATTTGAAGAATGTTTGGGGTGCATGAACAAACTTTGGCAGAAAAGAAACATAAAAGGAAAGGAAAGGAAGAATCGTAGTAGTTGTAGCCAGCAACGAATTCAGGAATTTGAGTGAGTTAAGGTGGATCTAGGGGAGTGCTTGGAAGTTCATGTTCAGAACGACTCTATTGTACATATACAACGAATAATATTTTGATTTTTTTCTTCCTTAATCTTGTCTAGTACTATCGATATTTAAGTATTTCTTCCTTTTATATAGTCTTGTCTACCTGTTAATGCAGTTGCAGCATACAATTTATAACATTAATAAAACTATAATTGGATAGATGAGAGAATGAGTTGCTTGATTTCGACGTTTTTCAATAATTGCTCCCCTCCAATTAAGATCTTGATTCAACAATATCGAATATATTAAGTTGTAAAATTTACAATAAAGAACTGACTGAGCTATCAACGATTATTAAGCCAATAGGTAGGCCAATTGGTTGAATTACATATTATAATCATTCAAATTACATGGTACTACAATGGAATACAATTTAATTTTTGTAATGTTTTGAACTTGAATATAATCACTTAATTTCATTTTCTTACAAATTGATCCCTGAACTTGAATATTTATTCCAACTTGACAGTTGCAGGAAAATATTTGTTACAATTTAGTCCTTCCGTCCACGAAATCAAACCAGTTCGATAATGGCGGTTAAAAACAGCTCTCTCCCACTGCCTTCATTCCTGCTTTCCCTCTCTCTGTCTGACCCAACACAAAATGGTGTTCCTATTTCATCTCACACAATCCCATTCCCCCCCTCTCTTTCATCTCCAGATTAACAGTACTTACACCTACAATACCTCAAATGCTAACCCTTTTTCCGTTTCCTTTTGCAAATCATCCTCTACACCCACCACAACCGCCACTGCCACTTCCCCCAACGGCCGCCCTCCCCCAACTAAATTCACCTCTCTCGTATCCCTCAAGCCCTACCTTCAGTCCGACTGGCGGCCAATTCTATCCGGCTGGGTCTGCAGCGCTGTCTCTGTCTACTCCCTCTCCAAAATAGTCCCCCTGGTGGGAAAATTTCCTTCTTTATTGACCACTGCGAATCCGATGCACCTGAGAAAAGAGGGTTTGGTTTTGGGGGTTCTTGTTTTGGTTCGTATTATTGCGAGTTATCTGCAGCAGGCGTTTTTGTGGGAGGCTGCATTGAATTGTGTTTATAAGATCAGGGTTTATGTATTTAACAGGGTTTTGCAAAGGGACTTGGGGTTCTTTGAAGGTGAGAAGGGGGTTTTGCCTGGGGATATTGCTTATAGAATAACGGCTGAGGCCTCGGATGTTGGTGACACTGTTTATTCTCTCTTGGATGTGAGTTTTTCTATTTTACTTTGGTATTGTGATCGAGGCTTTCTAATTTATAACTGTGTTTATTTAGTTATCAGGGTGTTTATCGTGTTAATGATTGGATGAAGTCGACAATGTATTGAATATCCCATTTTGCATGTTCGTAACTGTGGATGCATAAAGCAATAAGTTACCTCAGTTTCAATTTCTTCTGTGGTTTGATTTCCTCTAGCATACTATAAGGTTAATGAAAAGGTTACTTGGTGATGAAATCTATCAATTGATGTTTAACCCACTATTTATCAAATCAAATAGCAGCATGTTTAGGCTTTTAGATGTTTTTCTTTTTTCATCAATAGATAGTGGTTGTTGCTTTTTTTGCTCACCAGTACTATTTGATCACCACATGAGTTCATGTACGTTAGCTTACAGGTGAGAATTTGTGAAGTTTAAATAGGAAGTTTTTCTAAAAGATGTATTAATGTCTAATGAGATCTTGTAAATTCGTAACTCTATGGTGTAATAACTGTAGAACTAGTCTTGAGGAGGCAAATAAATGTAAGATCACACAATTTACTAGAAAAATAAGTCGTCTTCTCAGTAATTTGAGGTCGGCTATGTACTATCTATCTATGTTTAAATATATAATTAATTAATAATAGGGGTTGACAGAAACAAAGTACTCGCTTAAGATATGCTATAGTTATCTGTTTTTCCCAATAATACCTGGACTACAAAATTGAAATAGCAATTTAATTACATCCGACTCCCTAACCTAATGCGGCACCGGGTTTCAACCACTGGGAACCGTAACATGGGAGGTATCAGCCAGTAAAATTTATGGGATCCAAAAAGAAACTGTTCTAACCGTGGATAAAACTAAAATGATGTAATACTATTATAGCCAAACAGCTCTTTCTGCATTATGTTCATAATTTTAGATAGCCTGTAATGCTGTTATGCATAGTTGTTTACATATATCACGACAAACTTTTGATCAGCATCATACAGCCCCAATCAATGTAATGCTAAAGATGTGTACAAGTCTTCCCTCAATCCGTATCCTACTACTTTCACACTTGCTGTCTTCACATTGTCTATTCTTATTGTTTTCTCAGACAATTGTACCCAGCACTTTGCAGTTTGCTGCTATGGCTACCCAGATGGTAATCACGAGCCCTACTTTCTCATTAATATCTGCCCTGGTGAGAAAGTTATGGACATAATTTAGTCCTTTTTTTGGTTCCATTTTATCTTATGTAGTAAAGTTAAGGAATCAAAATATGTCTGGTTTCCTTTAGGCGATTCCATCAATGGCGTTTATAACTGGGTATCTTGGAGAAACGCTTCGTGAAATATCCAACGAGGCACATCTCAGTATTGCTGCCCTCTCAGCATATCTGAATGAGGTATGGTTAGTTTAATTATATAAGGAACAATGGGCGACACTATTGTTTAGGGGGTTTTCACTAATATCCGAGGTGCATATTATGGATTTTATACCTGTGAACTGCCAAAGACAATTTCTGTTTACAAGATTTTTTATGTTAAACTTCTGATAAGGGAAAAGTGAAGATGTCTGTGAAGTATTTACCTTCAGTACAATATCATTATATTCTTCACTGAACTCCCTCTGTTCCTTCTTCATCTGCACATGACTCAGTTAGCAAAATGTTTCTTAACTGAAGACAGTAGTAGTCCGAAACTGCAGTTATGAGATGTTCTCTGCTAATTTCCATGAAGTATTATCAAAATTCTCTATTTTATTTTAGCCTGCTTATGATCTTAACTGCATATGAATCCTTCATTTTGTTCTAGGTCTTTCCTTCAATTCTTTTTGTGAAGGCAAACAACACAGAATCCTGTGAAATTGTCAAGTTTCAATCAATTGCTTCCACCCAACTATCTGCATATTTGAGAAAAAAGAAAATGAAGGCCTTCATTCCCCATATAGTTCAAATAATGTATTTTGGGCTGTTATTTGCATTTGGTGTTGCCTCGCTAGTAATTTCAAGAGGATCTTTCAATTGTTCTGCCATATTTTCATTCATAACATCCCTGGTTCTGTTGATGCAGCCAATTCAGGTAACATTATCTATTCAAAATAACTATATCTGTTAACTTTTATGATTTTCCGTTGTGATTTTTCTTTTTTGCTCTTGCTGTAATAACAAACTCATGCATATACTCATCAGTTATGGAAATGTAAGATTTTGCTGTGTATATTTCGGTTTTTCATTGAGCTGTTAGATTGGAATTCATGTTTAAAAGGGTCTACAGATTTGTGTTTGATTATTGTCAATTTTCAAAAAGCAACACACTTTGACCTTTCTAGACACAAATTTTTGTGCTACTTAGTTCAAGGATTAACTGGAAAAACAATTTTATATCACATGATAATACAATATTTCTAGTTTTTAGCTTATTGTTCATAATGCTTATAATCGGTATCAAGTTGAAGTTTAAGGATTAGCGGAATGTATGTTAGTTGGAAGCCTCAAAACCATATCTGGCATTCCTCTTTCTCCAGAAACAAAACTAACCTTTAAGATTGATATAAAAGGGTCACGGCACGATTATGGTTTTATATGGCACTTATGAGCTGTTTAAACCACTCTTAAGGGTAAAAAAATTCTGTAGGAAATGATTCGAGCAGAACTGTAGTGTTTCTGAAGAGAGCTCACTGCGGCTCTACTCTTAAGGAACTGTTTTTAAAACTCGGATATTCTGTCTCGTCATATTTGCAATTTAACTGTTTTTCTATATATATATATATATATGGACCTCTTATTTGTGATTGTTTGGTTTAAACATGCTTTCTCTTGCTTGGTTAAATGGTATACATCTCACTTCATTTTTAGCTGAATTTCCTTTTAGTCCTCTTTTTCGTGTCATTTATTTCTTTTGCTATTTCTAATTACTTGTATGCATCAGAATTGATCAGTGGCATGTTTAACTAGACCAATTGTCTCGTGTCATGAATAATTTATGTCTTCATATAAATAATTGTTTTTTTGTTTCAATATGGTTTTATATGGATTTTCAGTTACTAATCCATCTAATTTAATTTTTCTTGGCTTTTGCTAGTTTTAGCAGCCTTTTCTTTGCGATTAGAGTGTGTTTTTTTAGTGAATTATGTTTCTATTTGGAGTTTGTATAAATTATGATTTTATAAGTTGACATGTGTTTGTATGCAATTCTAATTAGTTTGGTTACCAAAATTGCAGTAATTTTCTTTTAACCACTTGATTTAGAAACCTTTTTTGAGACGTATTGCATTTTACACCGTTGAGCTAAATGCTGAATTGGGAATGTTCCTTGAGTATTTGATCAATTTTAAGACGAAGTTTTAATCTATTTTTTCTGTTTACTTTGAAACATACAATTTGATCTGTTATTTCTTCATCTTCGGCACTGTGAAGCTCTTGTTCCATTAATAGTTTTCCAATGCTATGTTTGTTTGTTATCATGGTTTTTCTTCTATGCAGTTGTCATAAAGTATCCATCTGAAATTAAAGAATATGCAGGGTGTGGGGAAAGCATATAACGAGTTAAAAGAAGGAGAACCAGCTATTGAGCGCTTGTTAAATTTGACCATGTTCAAATCACAGGTAGAATTTTATGGTTTTATAAGCTTTTGACCTATTACAAGGTCTTATTACCTATGTGACTGTGTTCTTACTAAAAAAAATAATAAATAAATAAACTAATGTTTGGCCCCATCACGTAGGGTTCCTCTATATTGTAGAAAAATTACTGAGTAATAATTTATTCCTAACAGTAGGCTGTCTTTTAGCTAGATAATTAATAACAGGCCTCTTTCTGAATTTGGGGGAATCATTTCTGGTTACCAAAAGTTTGAGATTCTTGTGGCACATTTATGTTGTGCATAATAATAGAAGGTAGCAAGCTCTTTTTTTTTTTTTTTTTTTCATGAACAAATGATAGTGGATTTATATGAATGATGATAAGGGGTGGACTGGAATCAGGCAGACAAAGAAGGGAATCCCATTGAGTCATAGGATTGCTAGTCATAATGGTAAGGAACATTTGCCTATATGTATAACAGATCGTGAAAAAAAAAATTTGCATGAAGTTCATCTTCAAATGAGTGAAAAAAGATCCACATGTGGAAGATGGTTGCTTTTTCTGGGCATGCTTTTGAAACTATTAAATTATTAACGCACAAGTAGGTATACAATGTATTGTCTATGTATAAATGATCTGGTGGCTGGTTATAACAATATATATAGGTGATTGAGAAACCAGATGCTGTTGAATTAGGCCCTGTTACTGGAGAAGTGAAATTTTGTGGCGTGTCTTTCAAATATGGAGATGATATACCTTTTGTATTGGATGGATTGAATCTTCACATTAAAGCTGGGGAGACAATTGCCCTTGTAGGGCCATCTGGAGGAGGGAAGACAACTCTTGCAAAACTTCTTCTTCGTCTATATGATCCTCTTTTTGGTGAGCACTAATCCATCAATGCATCATTTATTATTGCTCATGATCCTTGGTCATGGGTACTGTTTGTATCATTTTATTATCATAAAATCTTGTTTCCGAATGTTCCTTTTTCTATTTTGGTAGGTTCCATATTGATAGATGGCATTGACATTCGAAATGTACGGTTGGAAAGTTTAAGGAGACATGTTGGTCTGGTCTCTCAAGACACAGTGAGTACGCGCTACCATCTAAATTTCCTTTCCAATTTCTGTTTTTAATTCTGACAGTGGAGAGTCTAGCAACTTAAATTTGAAATTTTTATGTTACTTTATCCTAATTTAATTTTGGGTTTGCATTCTTCGTTTGTCATTATACACCCTTGGTTATTTATGCCTGTATTTGAGGAATAACTGAGTGGAAATCTCTCTCTGTTGCACTCGCCATGCTTATCATTTGAAAGGATAATTAAAACGTGTTAATTCTTTATTTAGATTTTTTTTATTTGTATCTATGCGACAATGCTCTAGTTCACTTGTGCACCTATTGAAAATTTGATGTATTACTAGAGGCGAGATTAGAAGTTCCTAGTTGACATCCTGCTCGACTACGTGACCTTCTAAGTTAGAATGTATTTGCATAAAATAGCAAGGCTTATAATAGTTTGCAAAACATTTGCTCATCTGGATGTTTGATCCGCTGTTCTGCTATATGTTATCAGACACTTTTTGCGGGGACTATTTCTGAGAACATTGGGTATAGGGATCTAATGACTGGTATTGATATGAGAAAAGTTGAACTTGCAGCTCAAACTGCAAATGCAGATGAATTCATAAAAAATCTTCCTGAGCAGTTTGAAACTAATGTTGGTCCTAGGGGCTCAAATTTTAGCGGAGGCCAGAAGCAAAGGTATGTTTCTCTAGGACTCCTAACGTCTAATTAATGTTTTTCTTTTCCTTATTGCCCGAATTCTTTTAATTCCAAGGGATCGTCTCCCTTTGCGGTAATCTATTAGAAACTAACTGCAATTATCATACAGTGGATCCAGGGGAAAGTCTAGGCAATAGTACTTTGAAATTTTCTCAATGTTTAGATGTCCCAACTTTGTATATCTCAGACTGGCTATTGCAAGGGCACTGTGTCAGAACCCCACTATCTTAATTTTAGATGAAGCGACTTCTGCGTTGGACAGCAGGTCAGAGCTATTGGTGAGACAAGCTTTGCAACACCTAATGCAGAACCGCACTGTAAGCACAAATTTAAATTGATCTTTTAACTCATGTAATATTTTACAACAATTAGCATTTCTGTCTGGTATTTTTTCATGTGAATCCTCCTGGTATTTTGTAGAGCCTTAACCATTGAGCTTGATTGTCTAAAAACTTAATGGTTCGATTTTTTGGTATTATCTGCACCCATTTTCTCCAGTATTTCATGGACAAGGAGATTCCCCATTTGCCTCCTAGATTTACTAGTAATCATGATAAGATATCAGCCAATTCATTTACATATTAGAGTTAACAATGCAAAAAGGCAATTTTTGAAGACACTTACCTGTACAAGAACAAAAAATATCATTCAAATAACATTGAAGGACGATGTGCCCATGGATTGGTTCAAGTTTTTATTCATATAATCTTGATAACTGGCAGGTGTTAGTCATTGCCCACCGGTTGGAAACAGTTCTGATGACCGAACGAGTTTTCCTTTTAAATGATGGGAAACTGCGGGAGGTTAGTCACTCCTCTCTTATGGATGAACTGCATGGGTCACTGTCATCGACAGAACTTGTAATATAACATCTCAGAAGAGTCGAGTTTACAAGCACGAGAACAGATCATTGACCTCCAAGGACATTTTCTTGCTGTTACCACCAATCTCAGTATTCATTTTTTAGATTCTGGTGTACAGTAAAAGAATTATGTACAAAATTATCCATGTAACAATCATAATTTTGCGTGTCATGTTATTTCTAATATTGAAACGGTCGATATTGTTGATTATTTGCAACTATTAATACCCTCATTTGTGGTTCGCAGTAATTGGTTTTGGAGGAATTCTATCCTTGTTTCTTAGGGACGGTTTAGCATGGTTTTTGAGATCCAAAATTAGCTTTTGGACTTGTTTGGCTAATATTATGAGAGTAATTCTTCTGGTTAGAAGAGCTTTTAGAATAAGCTGATCAAATGTGATTTTTTCTAAAAGCACTTATAAAACAAGTGCTTTTAAAAATTAGTTTCAAACAATAATTAGTGTAATTTCATTCAAAAGCTTTTCTACAAGAAGTAAAAGTAAAAGCAAAAGTTGTGACAAATGGGCCCTTAATCTTCTTGCATAGAATTGGCCATTTTAAGAGTGGACGTTGTTGATGAAGATTATTCCATTATTCAATAATATCTTGGAAAAGTAATAAATCTTAATCATTTAGTTTAGGGCTGATAAAACTTTCAAAATGAATCGAACCAAATTGGACTCAAATTGAATGGAGTGATTATTCTTTAGTTAAATACTTGAACAAGTATCATAATTGAGAATCGACTGATTTGGTTCTATTTTTTATTCTAGATCAAAAATCTAATAAAAATAGTATCTCTTTAATTTTATATTTTTTTATTAAATAAACTAAAATTTTTTCTAAATAAATTTGGCAACTAATTAAATGACTCCAAAAATATCATTTTCTTGTTTCCTTTGCCAACTAATTAATTGAGCCAAAAATATCATTTTCTCGTTTTCAACTCAATACCAACTTTATATTTCAAAATTCAAAGAATCAAAATTGAGTAATCTAAGTTTTTCTCAATCGTTTTGCAGTTTCTAAAATAATTAAAACCGAGCATCTATGCCTTTCTTCATCTTACCCTTTTCTCTACCGAAACACACTACACGTACAGGGACCTTTCATAGGTCCTTACTAGGCAAGAAACAAGTGGGGGTAGACCCCACAATTTTTTTTAAATACATGTGGGGCCCGCCCCCCAAACAGTGAGGGGCCTATAAAGCCCCTGTGAAACATTGCACGTGTACGGGTGCAGTGTTTTTCTTCTCTACCCTATTCATTGAACTTTTCCACTTTGATCAAGGTAAGCTTTATTTCATTCATTCTTTGTAATTTATAACTAGTTTTCAAGATATTTATTGTGAACTCACGCATTTGCAAGTTTTCCTCTTTTAATAGCTACCTTCTTTGACGGGTGATAATATAACAAATTGTTAAGTAATTAATCAATTTATACTTGCATTATTATGATATAATGACGCCTAAATGCACTAAATACCCTTATATTTTGATTTAGATTGCAAATGGATGGATACAAGTAGAATTTAGAAGAAAAGAGCGAAAAAAGATCAAAATAAGTGAAAGTTCAAGGATCAAGTTGCAAATAAATCAAAGATGAGACGGGCGATGGAATGATGATTCGAGAAAGCTACAAGTCAATTGGCTGCAATTGAAAGTTAAAAGAAGTGAAATATGACCATAACATTTCCACAAATCGATTTTCAATGGCATAAGTTCTAGATTTTAAGCTGAATATTGGGATCCATTTTTGACCTAGTAAATGGCCGAATTGGGAAAGAGCTATTTCTAGAAAAATTGTAACCCCTTTTGTTAGCTTTCCAATGTATTTTGAATTGTCTCAATCGAATATCAAGAGAGAAAGTTATGGTCAAAATACTGAGCACTGTCCGGCGAAAGAAATAATTGAACTATGCGGTCGCAGAATTTAAAAACCATGCAGTTGCATACAAGGCTCCAGAGAAGTTTAGAGCCGAAAGTAGTTGTTCCATGCGACCGCATGACTTTCTTCTATGCGGTCACACAGTTCATTCCCGAGGCGCGAATTCTAGTTTCCTAATTTGAATCAAATACATAGGGAAACAAATCTTGTACACAAGATATAAGCTCTAGAACTCGTCCAAAAGAGGAGAACGCCCTCATACACTTTTCTCTCATCTTGGTGCTCAAGAAACTCCATGAAGAACTAAAATCGAGATGAAGTTAGGAAGGAACTCTTTGGATTTGATAATTTCACATCCATTGTTTCATGGGTTCTGGTTCATCATTGTTAAACAATTCCAGTCTTTAGATTTTCATTCTTATGAATTTACATTTAAATCGCTTTAACATTTACAAGATTTTTCATGGATTCAGTCATGCTTTTTCCATTGTTAAATTAAACTATTTGTTGAGTTTCAATTTCAATTACTTATTGTTGAGATTGGTTTAACTTTTATCAAATTCTTTATAGATCTAGTCATGTTCTTTCTATTGAATGATTGAAATTATTGTTGGATTTTAATCTTAGTATAATTTTATCGACGGATTGATTACTGCCTTATGCTTTATGTATATGGTCGATCTTTGATCTTGTTCTAATAAAAATGTGCAAATATGTTATAAGTCCAGATTCTAGGATTACAATTGTGAATTAAATTGATCTTTATTGTTAAATCTTCCGATTAGAGAGTTGGGATGAAAATTCTCTAATTGAGTTATAAAAATGAATAATAGAAGTGATCTACCCAATCCAATTGAGGGAATTCCGACGCTTCGCTATCTCTAGACATTAATCTTAATTTCATTATATTAACATTGAATTCTCCTACACATTTGGAGAGAACATTCACATTTTGGATTCCTTGAGTGATTTTCCATCTCTCTGTGGAATCGACACCTCAAAATTGTACTACTACCACTATCGTGTTATTCTTTGGGCGTAATCAACGGGTTATTTTATTTTATTTTTGCTTTTCTTTTAGTATGCCTTCCATATTTGAACATATTATTAGTTAAATTAATATAGTGCTGTATAATTGAGTTATAAAAATGAATAATAGAAGTGATCTACCCAATCCAATTGAGGGAATTCCGACGCTTCGCTATCTCTAGACATTAATCTTAATTTCATTATATTAACATTGAATTCTCCTACACATTTGGAGAGAACATTCACATTTTGGATTCCTTGAGTGATTTTCCATCTCTCTGTGGAATCGACACCTCAAAATTGTACTACTACTACTATCGTGTTATTCTTTGGGCGTAATCAACGGGTTATTTTATTTTATTTTTGCTTTTCTTTTAGTATGCCTTCCATATTTGAACATATTATTAGTTAAATTAATATAGTGCTGTGTTAACATATTTGCATAAGATAAATTTTCTCAGTAAAGAGTCTCCTAAAACGCCGTAAAAAAAACGTGCTTTCTGTTTCAGTGGGCTGGGCTAAGATGTAGGCTGTGGGCCGTGGCTTCAAATATCAACGTGGCCCGATCCGAGGGGCGAGCTTCCTCTAGGCGGGAACATAACATTTACTGCCTTTTTCTCCCTCTTACGTTCTTTATATATCAAAGGATTTCGCAAATTTCACTCTCCCTATGACCCTATCTGCCTCACACAAAAGGAACAAAGTGAGATTTTTAGAACAAAGATCGTAATAAAGAAAATTAGATATAATGTGTTTTAACATATTTGCATAAGATAAATTTTCTCAGTAAAGAGTCTCCTAAAACGCCGTAAAAAAACGTGCTTTCAGTTTCAGTGGGCTGGGCTAAGATGTAGGCTGTGGGCCGTGGCTTCAAATATCAACGTGGCCCGATCCGAGGGGCGAGCTTCCTCTAGGCGGGAACATGACATTTACTGCCTTTTTCTCCCTCTTACGTTCTTTATATATCAAAGGATTTCGCAAATTTCACTCTCCCTATGACCCTATCTGCCTCACACAAAAGGAATTGTCCATCAGTTGCCGTAGAATCAAAGAAAAGTTGACATCTGTAAGCCCTAATTTCTATTCCATTTTGCTTTTCATTTAATAACCGCCAATATTCCTTGTAATCGGGATTAAATTCTGGATATGTTTTTAATTTTTCAGGGTTTTTGAAGGAAATGGATACGTCAAACCCGGCGGTTTTCGTCAACATGGAGCTACTAAGGATGCACGTTGGCCCTAGGGTTCGGGCGGTTATTCAGGTGTTGAATTCTGACGGTGGTGGCACGGTGATTGGAAAATCGACAGATGAGCAGCAGTTGGTTATCAAAGGTCATCCTCCTGGACCTCTTTCGACTTTTGTAGAGGTGATCGGCATTGCTGACAGTAATCAATCTATTCGAGCTGAATTATGGACCAACTTTGGTGACAATCTTGGTACGTTTTCTGAAGACCCTCTATTGAGATTTTGAGTATTCATTTTCCTATCGAGACATTTGTTGCTTGTATGCTATAGAAATTAATCACTTGAAATTTGATTAATTGAGAAGATTACCTTGTAGACCTCCCTTGACGATGTGCGGATAGGACCCCCGGAGGGGCGACAAAGCGCATCATAACTTTGCCTTCACAGCACAACTGCCTTCCAACATAAATGTTGTCTTCCAACTGCTGCGGGGATTCGAACCTCCGATGCTCCGTGTGGAACCCTACTGCTTTAACACTGCGCCATGCCCGTGGGAGCAAGATTAAAGCATATTTACTTGTTTTGTAAGTTGTTAAAACTCAGTTTGCCATGAGAATTTTCTGCAAGAAATCTGATGCTGGTTTATAAGTTGCTATATATGCAGACCAAGTGCAACTTGTAGACTCACAATGGAAATATTGCTTGTGTTTGTGTACGTTCAAAATGGTTTATGAGTTTTGCGTGCAGTTCTGCATCTACAGTTCTTATGCTTTTGTTTCTTTTCTGCAGATACAGCTAGCTACAATCAAGTTTGTCATCTTGCCAACGGGGATTACAAACACCTTTTTATTTGAGCAGTTATGATGAGTACGGTGTTGTGAGCTTGGAAGTAGCATATTATCTTTCACAATCTACCTCTCTACTTGGATACATGTGGATAGAGCTATACTGTATTCAAGAAATTATTATTAGTCACTTGCAATTACTATATATATGGAATTTATATATTTGGTCTGCAAGAGTTACTAGTATCTTGTGTTTATTTGGTCTCAATTGCTGTAATTTTCTTCACAAGAAATCATTTTGGAAAGCCTTTTGGTTATGGTTGTTTTGGTTGCAGCGATGATGTTTTCTACTGTTCCGATTTTGTCTTGGTAGACTGGTTATTAGCAATTCGTTTGATCACATCGCCATTGCCCCTGCTATAATCCCCGCTTACCCATCTCATACTGGACTCCATGTCCACCAAACCACGCCCACTGTCAACTTTACCCACAATGTATATTTACTCTGAATTGTCCATATGTACTTTTCTGTTCCCAGGTTCCCAGCCGGTTGTTTTAAATCCCTTATCTTGCTACCAGTCTCCTTCTCCCCAAGAAAACGAATTCCCCTGTGATTGCCTATAACGGAATGATGCAATTTGCCACACATAAATGATAGTTCCTCAGTATTGTGTCCCTGATATGCTCGAAAGTGAGTTGTGGAGAATGGTAGTCTAATGAGTAATTTTGGTGGACTGGCTGGAAATTGGATGATCGTTGCTGGACTCCCAGCTCTGGAAGTCTGAATCAATTTGTCTCGGTTATTTGTGGTATGGAAGTATTGGAAAGTAAGAAACTGCTCTCTGCTATACAATAGCTATGGAAGCATGGAAAGGGAAAAACGTGTTTCGATGCACGACATACCTAATTACTTAGTTCATGTATATGCACGTTAGGCAATTGTGGGAGGATGCAGGTGGTCGTAGCCATTTTATTTTTTGCTTCCTATGGTTCTTTATTCGTATAAATCACCTCCTTGGCAGGACAGTCATGTGACAAATCAACTGGATGAATTTAGTAAATCCTTTTAGGGTCCGTAAACTTGGATTGAAGCTATCCAATTCAGTGTGAAATGTGATGGAGTATTTCTGTCAACAAAGGGACAGATTGCTGTAAATCGCACCCAGAAGAATGAGCTATCCGACTGCAGGGAGTGAAGAGATCATGGTGCTGCGGATTGTCAACTCCGCAGGTCGAATGCAGCCGCTAATGAAAAGCTAAAAGGGAAACTCGAGGAGAATACTACCGGCGCAACAAAAATGAATAGAAAGAAGGGGAACTCCATTCTTACATCTTCAAGGAACTAGCAATGGGATTCGGCAGTTCATGTTCTTGATTAGACGAAGTTGTAATGTTAAGATTCATTTTGAATCCTTTTGCTTTAGATCTTAGATCTTCTGTAATGCTTATCTGGTAAGGTCGGATATGCCCGGTGTAATTGTACTGAAATTTTTATCAATACAATTTATTTACTAGATCAAAAAGAGTGGTACGTCTTCTTGATGTATTATGTGCATTGTGATTTCAAAAAGTGTTGAATCTTGAAGGTAATGCACATGCTATTTCGAGCAATTATTCTAAAGCCTGTTCTCTGGTGCTCATCCGTCCGCAATGTGACACTGAAAGTTTTGAGATCGTACGCTTGAACAACTGGTAGAGCTCAGGTTCCAGCGTTCCCAAGTAACAAAATGTACAATTTTTGACCCTTAATTGGGTGAACCGTGAACATCGCAGATAGATATAAAGGGAAATGTAAATCCAATATAATCTTTCGATTTGAGCACATTAATAATTGAGGGTTCCTCTTTCCAGTCAGGCAAATATGGGGTAGTGCCAGAACAAATCTAAGGCGTTCACATTGGTAGACCAAAAAGTGACACTATGAACATCATTAGGAGGAGGAGGAGGGGGGGGGACCATCTTTTAGTCTAGAATAGCATGGTATACTTGAAGGATCATTCTATGATTATCAACCTCGTTTTCTCATTTTTTCACCAGAAAGCCAGCAACCGTCTAATCTGTACTACTGTAGAAAAAAGTTACATAATGGGAGTATAATTACACCAGATGCCGCCAAGGAACGGTCAGTCATTCCTCCACTCGATTCAGGAACCACATATGGAGGATCAAGCTTCGAATGGCCATTTTGTATAAATGGGACAGAATCAATACTAACGCAATAAATATAGGCAAAGATGATCTTTAAACAATTAAAAGCCATAGACCCCCGTAAATCCAGAATCAAAACAGTAAGCTATTGTGAACCAAGTTTATAAATTATCCATACTGAGTAGCTGCATAAATTCTGCAGAAGAAAAGTAAAAAACATTTATGTGATGAAAGTCATCCTTCCAACAGCTACAAGCAGATTACAGGAGAACATACAAGTAGCATAAATGCTTCACTTTATATCATTAAGGTGTTGCTATCTCCTTTCAAGAAGTTATTGCCATCGCCTTTAAAGAAAGATCGAGAGGTCTTCAGGGGGTTCAATCCAAATACTCTCAAAAGGATCTTGTTCTCCCCAATCATAACTCTGCTTGCGGGGATAGTATCTGCCACTTGCCAGAGAGTATGACACGCACCTTTTTCCATAAAATCGAACTTTAGAGAAAAAAATGTTGTTTCTCATCATTCCAAGAAGGTCTGACTTCGCATATGACGACAAGAAATTTGCAAAAAGAGTCATGCCTCCTAAATTTTCCATCTCAATCCACACTTTATTCACTTGGTCTAACTTATATGTCACTGGGTTTACAACCGAGCACGTATATATAACAAAAATATCTCCATTATGTTCTGCCATAAATTTCCCTTTCCACCAATTCTTGACAAAAAAGCATCTGGGCGGAGGCACAGAATAAATACTCCAAGTACTGTTGTCAGGGTCATAAACTCCCAACCATCCTGTTACACTCAAACAATAAAAACGACCATTGCAGAAAACCAGCTTATTCCAAATGCTGCTGACAAATGGCAGACGGCTTTGGTAGTTGACGGTAGTCCATTCAGTTTCCCCAGGACGGCATGTGCTAATCACAACAACTGTGGGGCTGGTGTGCTTAACTGTAAATGCAATACAGCTGGAAGAAGTCGGGGCAGCAGAAAAGGCAACTACTTGGTACGTCAGTTCTAGTCTAGGCAATTTGACCGACTTTCGAGTATATGGACAAAAAAAGAATATCCGTTTAGTTCGAGGCTTGTAAAAAAGCAACCAACCATCCTTGGCGTAACAAATCCTAGAGCCATTTAGCTCTGACAAATCAAGCCAATATGATTTGCGCCGAGAAGGATCATAGAATTCATATAAGTCACCAAATTTCGGGAAAAACATAATCCACGGAGGTTTATCAGCCACTTGGACTGAGGTAGCAGCGGCACACCATCTTTTGCAAACAGCAGAAGCACGGATATTATCTCTCAAGGATAACTGAGAAAGAATCAGTTCCAAAATCTCTGTCGGAAGCTGAAGCATTGGGCAGTGATCATCTGACTGTCCATTTTTTGCAACTATTTTGTCATCTTTGATTGCTTCAGGTAACCTAAAAGCATCGAATCCCGGATGCAATTCATTTCAGCAATAAATAACAACGCACAAATCAGTTGAGAACAGATTCAATCTATCAATCAGTTAACGAACACAAGGAGTATGAATCATAAGAGAATGTAATAAAGAATTCATTGAAATGGCTCACAATTTCCTATGGATTATGAAGTCCAAACTGTATATACCATTAGGTTTAGAACTAAATCTTGAAATGCATCTAACTGAAGCCCTCAAATTCAAATGCACCCTCATAATTCAGATCTTCCTTTCACCCTTTTTCTTTCTTTCTTTTGCATAAATATAGAAATTGGTAAGTTTAAATCAGCTAGAATTAAGAACATTGGCATCCATGAAACTAAATTTAACGAGAAATATATGCAATCTTGTGAACACAAACTAGAATGCCACTAAAGACCTATCTAACGGGTTCCATCCAAAGCAATACATATCTATCAATCTCATTCTCTCCAGATCTTCAAATCTAATTGCTTGAAAAATTGAATCTTTAGCCTTTTTAAAATGACTTTTTCACCTAAAATTGAATTTTCCTCAATGGGTAAACAAATTCAATCTCACCTACACAACCGATTAGTACCACAAATTAGATCAAATCAATACAATAAAAATCAATTTTCATTACTAAAGCGAAAATCAACAGCAAAAACGAAATTCAGATTTCATACAACAACTACAATAATTCATCAAAACAAAATCAAGAAATTTACAGTTTCGACTTTTTCTTTCTCCTTCCAGCCATGATTTCGAAACGCAGATAAGATAATTAGGGCAAAGCTATTATCTTTCTCTCTCTGAGAGTGCGGGTGAAAAAGATGGGTGTGAAGATGTATATGATTGGCGACAAAGAGTGGGTGCTACCAAACCTATTAATATAACACGTGTGGTTTTATTCAATTTTGTGTCGCAGCGGCCTTTTCAGTTCTGACAGCAGATTGCCACGTACAAAATCAAAATAATTTATATTTTATTTACATTAATAACAATCTATTTTGTTCATATGGTAAAATAATTTTTTTCCCAACTGAAAAAAAATAATAATACGGATGTTTTACAGAACACACCTAACAATGGATCTCATCCCAATAAAATATTCACATGGGATGGGGGGCGGACCCCATGTGTCTACCCTGTAGACGATCTATGGAAAATTCCTGTACGCAGGGCTTTTTTTTTTTTTTTAATTGAGGACCTTGTACAAGATATTTCCAGAGTAGAAATTTTGATTTGGAAAGTCAACTTAGGCTTCGTTTGAGCCACATTAATGTAAGAACAAGAATGAAAAATATAGCATTTACGAACTACACACAAGAGATAGAAAGTCAAATATGATGGCATGATGTGATGGATAACGGTCATATTTTTCATTTTAATGGGCAAATAATGGAAAATAAACAGGGAATTAGACTAATTATAAATTGACCGAAGTGAATCTTCCTGTATATTCAGATTGTAATTAAACTATTTCCATCAAATGTATTTTGTTTCAAAAAGATCAGACATTTGAAGGAATAATGTCATAAATGATAAGCCAATTTGTCTCTCTTAGGACGTTTACTTCTTCTGCATGCATAAAAGGAGAAATGAACGGAATGTTGGAAATATTCCACAACCAGGGGGAAATGGAGAAGAAACAAGATACAAAATATATTAAATAGATTAAAATAATGATGAAAGCTTGAACACGATATCGTTATTCTCAAACGATATTTGCCCCCTCTCAATACAATTTTTGTGCTTAAAGGATTCCTTGGCAAATGGTTTGAACGATTAATCAAGCATTGTAGAGAATTTAACACTTAAGCACTGGTGTAATTCTCCAAAACTTTAAGAACACAGGGAAAACTTCTAATATGGAAGAAAACAAGATTTTGATCTTTGTTTGATATCAAGTGCTTTAATTGTCTTTGCATTGAACATTGATCACTTATATATAGGCCTTGATTAGTTCCCACGAAAACTCGGCAAAGTTATAATGAAAGGCCATCAAAATTTAAATTGCAATAGCCACAAAACGGCTAGTAAATAGACCTATGCAATTGCATAGTTGCTCCCAGGACAGTGCCTTTAAGCCCTGTATATAACCATGTGACTGTAGGTCAGAATGGCCTATGCGGTCGCATAGTAGTGTCATTTGGCCTTTATTTCTATTTCATTCCACACGCCTCACTTATTGATTTTGAACAATAATTCTCATCAGGGAATGGAAAGGAAGGTCACAATATTACCAATGAAAAAAATTGATGAACGCACTCAGTGGTAGGGTATTCTCAATTTCGCTATCAAAGAATATTATTATCGCCCTTCATGTACGTACGCCTCTCTCTCATTTGGATGAATAGACACAAAAGTGTAAGAATGCATTATATATATTAGAAGGTGCTAGTTCGCGTCAAACTAGTCCTACTTGGTTGGTGGGAGTTACTTGAAATGTAATATTGATTTTGGGTGTTGATAGCACTGAGCTCCCAAAACCCTTTAAGGATGTAAATCAAAGTGGATGATACTACCACTTTGGGTATTAATACCATTCCCTTTACATCAACCACGTTTTTAACCTACTTGAGAAGATGTGAAATAAGTGTGTGTTAGAAAATAGTGATCGACGTGTTAAAAAGGATCATTAAACCTTGAGCTTGCCGAAAACAAATGCCTAGTTACCAAAGTGGTTGAGCATTGAGATCTATTCTAATATTATGCAGTCTAGTGAAAATATCTTAAAGAATAATTCCTTGTAATGGCTAAAAACCCTATATTTTTCATGTCAATGGATAAATGGTTTGACACCTATCTTTGTACGTTACAAACTCAAGGATAGGTCCCCTGATAACATGAATATAAACAAAATCATCATTCTCTTAGTAAGTTCTTCTTCCAACTTCTTAATACATATGACATATATCTTCATTTATGTATTTTTCTTTCTACAGATATTGACTAGATTGAACGGGGTAAATGCCTTTGTACCTTTCAAGTATTAAAAAGTGTTGAAGTCTGTTAATTTGGAACCTAGTTTCAAATATTAATATTCTTTGAATTCTTTGAAATCTCTTAATTACTACGTTACATGTTATGTTGGTCGATTTTTTGTGTCCTCGTGACTATGCGCGATTGATGAGCAATGTTAGCAAAAGGAAAGGATGGACTTCTCAACTTGGGTCCTCCCCCCAATGTAAAATTAGTAGACAGTTTTTATATATATTAAATATAGTACAAATGTACCTAGATTTTAGTATATAATGTAATAGATAAAAATAAAATAAAAAATTAATCACCTTTTTGCCTTGAGTTGGGTTCGCTTTATATTTAAGGGAAAATTGCAGCTGAGGTAACAAATATTTCGTTTATTAGCAGGATTTGTCCAAACCTTTAATTTGTGCTACCGGAGGTACCAAATCTTAAAAAAATTGGCACCGGAGTCTAAATTGACAGAAACCGTTAGTTTGACCATCAAAACCATTAATTGATCCCAAAATTGACATTGACCAAAATTTTGATTGATTTTTGAAGGGTCAAATATATAACTTTATATTTTTCATATAAAAAATTAAAATAAAAGAAATATACTTCATCTTCCCCACTTCACTCTACAAACACCCACCCCAAAACCAAAAATCAGGAACCACTCACTTCCCTACCTGCCAGCCAATCGCCCAACCTGACAGCGAGCCAACTGTATCGCAACAGGCCTCCCTAACCTGGGAATTTGAATCCTTCAGCCTCTTAACAATGTGAGCAGTGATTTTGGTCAAATGGGTCGCAGCAAAATCAGTGCGAGCAGTGCAGAGTACAGCAAGGAGTCGAATGCTCTCTTTCTTCACTGCAGGCTTCGGGTCATTTATGACATCGTATAGGCAATTGAGTAGCATTGAAACCCCATCATTGGACAGGGCTTGAATAATCTTCTCGAGGTCCTCCATAGCGATCTGGTGGGTATCCCGATCGGCCAATTTCGAAAGCGCTGTAAGGATTCTCTGCTTCAATTCAATCATTGCCAAATGGGACGATAAAAAAGATAAAGATGAAGCAGAAGACGATCTTGGAGGGCCCGACTAGTTGGAAGGATTTGAGGGTTTTGAAGATCTTTTGGAGCTCATTTTTAATGGATTTTTTGGTCAAAAGTCTCGAAACAAATTCGATGGGAGATTTTTCCGCTTCTCCTCAATGATTGTAACTACATACTAACTAAATCCAGTTTTCTCCTTCGGCGTCACAATCGCATCTTCAATCATCTGAAATACAAATTTCATCCAAAAATAAAAGAAAAAAATCAGATCTAAAATTCATAAAAACGAAAATTCCAAATTCATAAAATTGGATTTGGCTCTGGGATTGCAGAAGAAGGGAAGGGTGGTGCAAATTCTTGTAATGACGGGAGGTTGAGACGGTGGTGCTGGCTGTGGCGGTGGACGGTGATGGTGGTGGTTTTTGGGGCTCTAGGATTGGGGAAGAAGGGAAGGGTGGTGGGTGGTTTTGTATTTTGATTTTTTAATTTAATTATTAATATATATTATAATTGTCTTTTTTGTTAAAAAAATGTAAAGTTACAATTTTAACCTATAAAAATCAATCAAAATTTTGGTCAATGTCAATTTTAGGGTCAATTAACGGTTTTGATGATCAAACTAACGGTTTCTGTCAATTTGGACTCCGGGTGCGAATTTTTTGAAGGTTTGTACCTCCGGTGATACAAACTAAAGGTTTGAGCAAAATCTACTAATAAACGAAAAATTTGGTACCTCAACTGCAATTTTACCTATAGGTTTTAAAATAAGTTGCCATGTCAAAAGATAGTTACAAGTACATGAGACAGGTGTCTTAGGGTTTCCTTGATATTAGCAGGAATCACGACAACATGAAGATCATATAAGTCATTTAGGGTCTTTTGATGACGTAAATATTCATTTACCCATTAGTTTATTTGTATGTCCCTCCTAGTCAATCTTCATAAATGAAGTCTATGATCGCAATGTAGTTGCATCAGTCGAGATGACGAGGGAGTCATTTTTGGTCCCTTGCTCGAATGAGAAAGTCTTAGCGGGTGCGAGTGCTACTTGATAAATAATCGAATATGGTTTTCTTTCTTTAATGACACAATTAATGTTTCACTTACGATGAGCTTTCTAATTCCATATGTATCAACATGTGATTAAAAAAAAATAATAATAATAAATTAAATGATGATGAGAAATATGCCAATATTGCATAACAATAAAGGAAAATCACTACATGTAGGACAGGATGGTTCAATAATCGTAGGGATTATTTTACAGCCAATTTTGAAATTCAACGATCATATTAATCATTTCATAGTCAACACAAATACGCTACATGTCTTTACAAATAAATGCGACAAGTTTTCGAATTCTGTTTATTAGTTCATGAATTATTTTTCTTAATATTTTTTAAGAAAAAATTATAATCTATTAGTTTATTAGCAAGTTTAGCATCTAATCTTCTAAAAGATGCAAATTGGTCCTAGATATTTCATTATAATTGCAAACCAATCCTTAAGGATGGACAATTCAAACGTTAATAGTTCTCACATGTATAATAAGATAAGATGCGCATAAAGAACAAACAAATTCTACGTAAATTCCGCAGTCAATGTTGAAAAATGAAACCTGTTTTTGAATAAATAATTAATAATACAAAATAAAAACAATTTAGAAAGATATTATTTTCTTCTGTCATCACGCAGTCTTGCATTGTGTACCTTTTTAATTCTTCCTTCCATTCCCACCACGATCTCGCTTCTGTATCTCTCTCTCTAACTATAATTGTTAACTTTCTCTCTCTAGAAAACTAGATCATTTCTATTTCTATATTTCTATATGACTCAGGTTGATCTCGAAACCTTAGTTACATCTAGCACACTCGGAGGCAATGATAGCAAAATAACATCCGAAACACTCGCCGTCACTGCTGCCAGCGACGATCTACTAAAGGATGAAGAGGATGGCACAGCTGACGTACCATCGGACTACCCGCCGGAATCGTTTTGGCTATCGAAAGACGCTGAATACGATTGGTTCGACCGCAACGCGTTTTACGAGCGCAAGGATTCCACCAAAGGCAGCTCAACTTCAACCAATTTGAACTCGAATTCTCAGCGTTCCGTTAAGTTGAAATCTAAGGCATTGATTATTGGATTGCCTAAGACTCAGAAAACTACTTATATGGATTCCAGGAGGAGGAGTTGCAAACTGGCTAACGCGAGACTGTTTCCAAATCGATCCGTGTCGGCGGGGAAGTCGACAGTGGCGGTGGTTGAACCGTCTTCGCCTAAAGTTTCGTGTATGGGGAGAGTCCGGTCAAAGCGCTGCCGGCGAAGGAATAATTCGTCGAGGAAGATTGAAGCACAGGCTGAGAAGTCAAGAACCGGTGGTGAAAAGCGGAAAACCGGGTTTTACACAAAAGTAATGGGTATGTTCCGCTCGAAAAAGGGTAATAAAAAACCTATCCGGTCGGGGAGTCGAAAAGTGAAAGAGCCAATTGTCGTTGAGCCGCAGAGGAAGAGCGTGAGCATAAAATTGCGGGAAATTCCGGTAAGTGTTGAAGTTGTTGCTGAGCCGCCCGGTTTGGGAGGGATGAAGCGGTTCTCATCGGGCCGACGTTCAGAATGTTGGACCGCCGAAGAACTTAATACGGCGATTTCCGAGTCACTTGATTTAAATCGGCCCGTACGAAAGCAAGGAGCATAAAAGTCTTACGTGGTTGGTGACAACCTGGCGTGTTATATTACTTTTCTCCTCGTTGACTCCGAGGTAAACGATAGATATACGGCAGCTTTTTTACAGTTATGAAAACTTTTGCTTTTAATTTCCCTTTATGTAAATATTTATAATATTATATTCGTGCTTTTGGACCTGATTTACTATTTTATATAATTAATATTTAAACGATAGAATGGGAAAGAATTTTTATTTTCTCTCTTTAAGACAAAATTAAATAAATAATAATATTTTACACTTTATTTTTACATTTTGGGAGTATATAATCCAAAATTTGACTCAAACTACGTGACAATGATGAACAATATTTAAAAATAGTAACTTGATAATACTTTACTAAGTAGTCTCCGTTTTTAATAGCAAATAGATTTCCAACATAGGGACCCATTGCAGTAGAAGAATAGAAAATTACCCTTTTCCTACGGCAAGAAACGGCTAATTAATATAGCCTATGTTTGACCCCAACTTTTTTTTTCTTTTTTTTTTTCAAAAACTCATTTTATCAAAATTCATTTTCAATCATACATTTTTCAATAGAATAATTTTATTTATAAATTTAAAAAAATTTCTTATTTTTAATCACACATTCTCTAACAAAATACTATTCTAAAATACATTTTGATAAGTGATTATTTAAAAAATATGTGATTAAAAAGTAAGAATAGATTATAAAAATCGTGAAAAATATTTTAGTTTTGCGAATGTATAATTTTAGATGAACGTGGATAAAAGTGATTTTTAATTAATCACTTCCACACAAGTATGGTATCTTGAAAAAAAAAAAAATACTTTAATTTGACTGCAGAGTATGCATTTTCCTTGTAATGAATTCAGCATATTTCCAAAATATACATATTTAAGCTCGACATTGAGTTCATGTTTGACAAATTTTTTTGAAATTATAAGTTGGTCGAACTTCATTTTTTATATATTTTATTAGAATTATAACTTTTATCTATTTTTATTCACATACTTTATACGACCAATCAACTTATAATTTTGAAAAACTTTGTCAAACGATGGCTTAAATAAAGTTACACCGGATTGGGACGTAACCCATTGCCTGCTTTGTCACGCATGAATTGGTTCCACGTTTGAAATGTAGAAATCAATTAAGGCAATGCTTATTGATCATTCGTCAATCGACCATTTTGCCCTTTAATTGTCAACATAAGAATTGCAATTTTATCAATGATATTTTCTATCTTTTTTTTTTTTTTTTTTTTTTTTTTTTTTTTTTTTTTTTTTTTTTTTTTGGTAAAAACCATTTTCCATCGTAAAAGTTTTATAGTTAGATATTTTAAGATAAATAAATTTAGGTTCTATTTGATAAAGATTAAAATCAGTTTTTAGTAGATTTTGATAAAGTTTAATGAAATGTATAGTTGAAAAATTGTGGATCTCATATTTGGTTATAATTAATTATTAACTTTCATTTGAATTAAAATTTAGATTTTAATTCTTATCAAACGAGAATTTCTTATTCAAAATAAAATTCCTTATAGATGTGTTTATTGACATGTTTAATATTCATAGTGTCTAGATCCCAAATAAATAGTGGTAACAACTATTCAATAGGTATGTCAATTAAGCCTGTGTTTGTCACTCATTATTTGAAAAATTAAAGATTTTTAATAGTATTTTTAGAGAATGTGTTGTTAAAATGTAAGAAAACTTTATTGATTATATATAGAATATTTCATTGTGCGAGTGTATGTTGATGAATGAAACTGCAGTAAACAATTTAAAATTTTAAAGATAGTCAAACGGGAGCAAAATAATGGTAAAACATAATAAGTACTCCATATTCTGAATTCTGAAAGTATTAGAATTTTATTTTATTTTATTTTTATTATTATTATTTTTCGCTGGAGGGTGTAACCAATTTCTTGAGGGAAATGTCATTAATTATTTTCAGATAGTTACGAAAAAGTAGTTATGAAGTATGACAATTTATTAAAGAAACTTTTTGGCAGCGTCAAATAAATCGCGAAATGAGTTTGCAATAATTCTTAAGATCCTATTTGATATAGATTTTTTAAAATAGATTAAAATAATATTTTTGAATAATATGGGGTTAAAAATAGGAAAATTTAACGGATTCACGCGTAAAATTATTTTATTAAAAAAATATTGTTCAAATTTTTTTAAAAGAAATTAATTTTAAAAAATCTTTACCAAACACAAACTTAATTAGCTGTTAAAATACCTATAAACACGGTAAATCTGCTCATTTATCGGAGAGGTGCTCAAAGACTTGCCAATTTGACTCTTTCGATCAAGTTAGTTTAATAATGCTATTTAATGTCATTATTGTTTAACATCGGTCATCAACTTAAGTGGCAACATTTATTATGTTAAATTATATATTCAATTAAATACAATGATTTATGAAATAATTAATAGAACCTATAATATGTTGATATCTAGACCGATGTTTAACACCACATATGCTAAGAGCTCGTTTGATTCTCATTCTTTGGCCACAAAAATAAAAAAAATGATCGTTATTCATCACATCAAGACACTATATTTGACTTTAAATCTCTTTTGTGAGTCCCGTAACGACTATATTTTTCATTCGCATTCTTAGAAAAATGAGAATCAAACGGCTCTAAATATCATTAAATATTTAATGTCTCACAACCCTCTAAACTAGTTGAACGACATGATGATATATTACAATTACTTTATCGTTCAATATATGATGAATTTTAGTAGAGCGTTTGATAAAGTATCGATTTGAACCTGTCTTGAATTGACTTGAACTTTGTCAAGTTTGACACCTAAATTTTTTTATTATCACTCATACTTTTATCTCTTTTCTAATTTAGTCGAATTGATCGCGATCTTGAATTCTTTCAATCTTGTTGGTCCATCAACCTAACTACTTTGAAACTGTAATAGATGTAAAATGAAATATGTTAGCCATTGTAGAATTCAAAGTGACTAGTCACATAATAAGTTCATTAATATAAATTTTAATTTTAGGCCCTTGTTTGATTTAGATAAAAATTATTTAGATAAAAATAATTTTTTTAATAAATAATGATAAAAGTTGATGAAAAGTTGTGGATCTTATAAAATATGTAATTATAATTAATTATTTACTTCGAATTAGATTTTTATCTACCTTTAAGCTTAATCAAACAGTGTATATAGTCCCTTTTTGAATATATTTACATTAAATTTCATTTTTCTCTCTCTTATTTTTAGCCACATAATCTTCTGTAAAATAATATTACACTTAAATCGAATTTTTTTTCTTTTTTAACTACTCATTTTTTGAAAAAAATACTATTCCACTGATTTTCATTCCCAAAAAATAGGGACCAAACGGGGACATTATATATTGTACGTCGTGTAGTAAGTAACACCAAGTTAGAACGTCAAAACGCGTTATGTCTTTATTTTGACTTACATTTTAATCATAGTAGGACTTGGAAGTAACATTTACGTTGGAAAAAGAAAGCAGTGACCAAATCAAATATTTGTTGCTAAGGGTCAAGACTTAGCCGCCAAAGGTGACTCCTAAGAATCAAATTGCAGTACCCCTCCTTTGTCTCATATAATACTGACTTCCAGCCAACCGCCAGAGACCGCAACGAGTTTTTAATTTATAATGTTTCACATTAATTCCCTTTCATGGACTGGGTTTGGCTCAGTTTTTAAATATTTGGCATGGGATTTTTGGAATTTGTAACTGAACGTCAAATGGGTTGCTTTCATTTGAATCCAGTGGCTTGAAGAGTTGATTTGGTTGCAGCGAGACAATTTCATTTATAATACGGTTGATTCTTGGTTCGGTTTTTATTGATTATCGTAAATTTGGATGATTGAATTGGATATTTGTTAGTGGTGGTGGTGACGGGGTTGGTTGGAGATGCTTTTTATTTTTATTTGTCCCTTTCTAATATATTTTTATTGTAAATAGTAAGATTACTAGGATTTATTAATGAATAATAATTTTACCCCTGCAGTTCTAGAAATTATTATCATTGCATCCCCGATTCTAATATATAAATATAAAGCTTTTGTTCTTAATAAAACACACAAAAATTTATTGACTTTCATTTTCTCTCTTCTATTTTTCTCTATTTTTATAACAAGTTATCAGCACAAAATCTTAATTCTTCACAATTTAGAGAATACTCATGATGGATTGTCAAGATACCTGCTTGATTGATAGTGCAACTACATATACCATTTTACAAGCCAAAAAATATTGTTTAGACTTAACATTAGCAAAAAATGATGTTAATTCGATATCAGATGTATTGAATATCGTTGAAAGCTTCGGAAGAGCTTATACTATTCGGTAAAATAATACAAAATTATATATTGATGATGCAATTTATTCTAGTAAATCCAGAAGAAATGTGTTTAGTTTTAAAAATATCCGCTGCAATGGATATCATATTATGACGATGCAAGAAAAATAATGTTGAATATCTTTACATAATCTATCTGGCAAGAAGCAAATAAAAATAAAATTTCATGCACTCCAATCTGACATGTATTATATATTTATAAAAATGATTGAATCAAATAATGTCAAAACCCAGAAGTTCATTGATCAAAAAAGTTTTATACTTTGACACGATTGACTTTGATATCTAGGAGCTATAATGATGTGCCGAATAATAAATAACTCACATGAGCATCCTTTAAACAGCCAGAAGATTATTTTACCTAATGACTATCCATGTGTAACTTGTTTGACAGGCAAATTAATCATTAGACCTTCAACTACAAAGATCGAGATTGAATCTCCAACTTTCTTGAAAATGATTCATGGAGATATATATGGGTCAATACATTCACGATGTGGACTATTCCATTTCACTAGAAATGTAACATTTGCTAAACTACTTGCTCAAATCATAAAATTACAAGCTCAAATTCCTGGCCACTCAATCAAGATTATTCGTCTTGATAATGCTAGTGAATTTAAATCACAAGCATTCAACAATTATTGTACGACAATTGGGATTGCAATTGAATATTCGATTGCGCATGTGCATGAACAAAATGGTTTAACAGGGCCGTTTATTAAATATCTACAACTTATTGCTAGACCATTACTTATAAAAACAAAACTCTCAATTTCTGTTTGGGATCATACCATACTACATCACATTTATAACTTACATTTGGTCATTAATCTAATATCTCTCACTTATGAGTTTTTGGTTGTGCTGTCCAAGTTCATATTTCACCCCTACAACATACCAAAACGGGTCCCCAACGAAAATTTGAGATTTATATGAGTTTTGATTCATCATCGATTATAAGGTATCTTGAACCTTTAACGGGTGACTTATTTACTATACGTTTTGCAGATTGTCATTTTGATGATTTTCCCAACTTTAGGAGAGGAAAAATTACATCCTAAAAAATAAGGTAAAATTTCTTAGAATGAAACAATTCTATCACGTTTTGATCCCCGCAACAATCAATGTAAGCAAGAGATTGAAAAAATCATTTATTTGTAAAATGTTGCAAATCAATTATCTGATATATTTGTTGACACTAGAAAAGTTGCACAGTCATAAATTTCAGTAGATAATATTTCAGCAAAAAATTGTTGTCTCTGTATGACAGTCTGCTATAGCAAATGAACCTCAAATACATCCGAAGCGTAGTTGACCAGTTGATTCAAAAAACTTTGTACATCGACAAAGAAAAATACAAAAGAAAAATCAACAAAAATTTTTAGAAGAAGTAACATTAGAAAAGATTGATCAATCAAATATTAAAAATATGGTTCCTGAAGAACCATAAGTATCTGAAAATAGTGAGATTTCAATAAATTATATGTTATCTCATAAATTATGGGAACAGAATAATGTTGTTATAGATAATATTTTTATTTTTAATATGACCCTTGATATTATGATAAATGAGGATCTTGAACTATAGTATGTTAAAGATTGTAAAAAAAATGATTGGCCAAAATAAAAAGAAGCTATACAAGTGGAATTGAATTCTTTAAAGAAACGAAAAAAGGTGTTTGGAATTGTAGTTCGAACACCTGAAAATATACTCCTTGTTGGATATAAATAGAGTTTTGTACGAAAGAGAAATGAATTATAATGAAATTATAAGATACAAAACCTGACTTGTAACTCAAGGTTTTTAATAAAGATCAGAAATTGATTATGAGAAAACATATTTCCCCGTAATGGACACCATCACTTTTAAATTCTTAGTTAGTTTGATTGTGTCACAAAAGCTTAATATGCGCTTTATAGATGTAGTAACTGTCTATTTGTACGGTTCAATTGATAATGACACATATATTAAAGTCCCTGAAGGACTTAAAGTGTCAGGAACAAACGATACATACCCTAAAACCATGTTTTCAATTAAATTACAAATATCATTATATAGATTAAAACAATTCGGACGCATATAGTATAATTATCTTAGCGAATATTTGTTGAATTGGGTTATAAAAATGACAATATCTGCCCATTTATTTTCAATTTGCAATTGTAACAGTTTATGTTTATGATTTAATTTAATTGAAACTCCCGAAGAGCTCAACAAAACTGTTGATTAATTGAAAAATGAATTTGAAATGAAAGATTTGGGAAAAGTCAAATTCTGTTTCAAGTTGCAGATTGAATATTTTCCAGAAGGATTATTTATTAATCAATCTATACAAAATGTCTTAAAGTGCTTTTATATGGATAATGATTCATTGACATCACTTATAGTTGTTCGATCACTTGATGTGGAAAAATATCCATTTCGCCCACTTGAAGATGGAGAAAAGGTTCTTGGTCCTGAAAGCATTAATTTATTTTGTAAATTGCATTCGACCCGTCATAGTTTTTTTCTAATATAGCTCTATACCAACTCAAAGACATTGGAATTGTGTTAAACATATTTTTCATTACCTAAGGACACTATTGATTTGAGCTTAATTTATTATCAAAAGTCGAGATCTGCTTTAATGGGATATGCAGATGCAAGTTATCTATCCGACTCACATAAAGCTAAATCACAAACATGATATGTGTTTACATGTGGAGAAACAACATATCATGGAGATATGTGAAGCAATATCCTCAAATCACTTTGAAATTATTGCAATTTATGAAGCAAGTCGAGAATATGTATGGTTGATGAACATGAGCCATTATATTCAAATATCATGTAGGTTAACTTTAACAAAAGATAATCCAATAATTTTGTACGAAGACAATGCAGCTTGTATTGCACAACTCAAAAGAGACTATATCAAAAGTGACACGACGAAGAGTATTTCTCCAAAAATCTTTCATATACATGAGCTTTAAAATGAGATTTGAAAATAGAGAATGTCCAACTTTTAAACTTGTTCTTTTTCAAGACATTGCGATCTGCATAGAAAATATAGTTGAAGAATTTTATCAAAGCCTTGGACACTTCAGGGGTGGAGAGAGCCCATTTAAATTTTCATAGAAAAATTTTAGTGGAAATTTCAAGTTTTCAGACATTTCAAGATCACAATGCAAAAAGTAGGTGGAAAAGTTTTTTATTTAGTCAATATCCAACAAATTTGTTCAAGTGAAAATGTGGCCTATTTATTCACAAAGGCACTGCTAACATTTACATTCAAGAAATTAGTTCATGATAGTGGAATGCATCGACTCAAATATTTTCAGTAATCAACATCAGGAGAGTGGTTTTACTCTTTTTTCTTCGCTTAGTTTTTATCACATTAGATTTTTCTAGCAAAGTTTTAATGAGACATTATTTATTTTTAATGTTCTAAAATAATTGTATTCTTTTTCGTTTGTTTATTTTTTTGTCCATTGAATTTTTATTAAACAAGATTTTAATGAAACAGATTTTTTGTAATGTATTATTTAAGGGAGGGTGTTGTAAATGATAAATTTATTATATCTTATTAGTAAATAACAATTTTACCCCTGTAACCTCAAAAAATTATTATCATTATATTCCTGATTCTTACTTATAAATATAAGATTTTTGTTCTTAATAAAATACCTAAAAATTTATTGACTTTCATTCTCTCCTCTCGTTCTCTCTTCTCATAACAATTTCTAATTTTTAAGTGGGAGTCATTCACAAAAAAATTTGAAATCTTGTTGCAATTATTATTATTATTTAAAGAGAATGATAAATGTGTCATTTTACGAGACTTTAATGGAGAAATGGACTGTATGAATATTTTGTGAACGAATAATACTATTTACAGTCACTCACTATTACATTTACCTACGTGGCATACATGTTGGGGTTAATGATTTGATACATAAGGCAATATAAAAAACTACTACATTAATGCATCAAATCACAAATTGTCATGTAAGATGTCACGTAGGGCGATTACCGCAGTGATCAACTATGAATTGCATTACTCTTTGTGACTAATGTCAAAATTAAAGCGATATAAATAATTTGTGCAATGAAGACAAACGATCGAACATTTTGAGTCAATTATCCTAAAATAACTGCACTTTAAATTAAATCCCATTTTACAGACATGCCATAGAATTATTAGCTCATTAAGTTTGGTGCCGGCAACCGATTAATATATTTAATAAGCCATTCTCTTCTACTACTTTTATCAATTTATATCTTCGAAGGACAACTTATGGATTAAAAATCTTAGAAACTCGATATGTGGTTCAACTGCTCCTCGTAAAGTTCCAAAATGGATCCATTGCTTTCCTCTGCAGGTCGATTTTAATTTTTGCATCTAGTTTCAAGTAAATTTTTAGTAATTTTTTGTAGTTGAAAAGTTGACAAAACTTATGAATTTTGTGAAATAAATGATTGAAAATTGGTTTGAAAAAAAAAAAATTAAAAATCGATTTGATCATCAACCCAAAAAAGGTCAAAGGTTGAACTGATTGTCAAAATTAAATAATAAACACACAAACAATAAAATATAAATATAATAACAACTATAATTTTCTAATATTAGCACTATTAATTCATAGTAAATATGAATCCATGTTTGTCAATTAAATTTGTAATCTTATAAGTTATTTTAAAACTTCAAAAAACTAACAATTAATGCCTTTAAAATAATTTTTGTTGTTCAATTGAAATTGTTTATGCTTTGGTAGCCATGATTTGTTAAAGTAGAGAATGAAGTAAACAATTAAATATTTAAAATTTCAATTGGCTAAGCCTACAACTTTTATTTCACATCGGAGTATGAATAAGAATGCGTAGGATGAGTCTCTTTTAAATGCACTTTGAAGATGAGTCTCTTTCAAAAGCAATTGCACTTTGAGGGTAATCTGAATTGGGCTTGCCAACGCAATTCAGCCCAATAAAGACGTTGAAATATTGTCAAAAAATAAAAAAATCATAATCAATAAAAAATCGGGATCAATTTTTCGGTTCATGGTTAATCGGTAATTCATTAGTTTTTTTTTCCCCCGGTTAATACGTTATGACCGGAATGGATATGAAGTAGGTTTCAATTTTTTTCATTGAATCGATCGATCCTGTCCGATTTTCATAAATGAGTTTTATGAAATGGAGGCCGCGAAAAACCAATTAATATATTTAACAAGCCATTCTCTTCTACGACTTTTAAAATTTTTAAATATTTGAACACATTAATTTTATTAATTTATATCTTCGACATATAACTTATAGATTACAAAACATAGAAACTCTATACGTGGTTCGGCTGCTCCTCGTAAAGCTCAACGAGGCGTCCATGGCTTTCCTGCACCGGTCTATTATTATTCTTGCATCCTGTGTCGAGTGGAGCTTTTAGAGCCTCTACTTGTTCCTTCGACATTGATCTCACCTTATAAAAATATTATACAACGTAATCTCAGTAGCATTCGTTACGATTTGCCAAACATGTCATAATTCTCAAAATTGAAATGATTTGTTACCTTTGCAAGGATGACCCATGTAACATTTTCAGTGCAAGGAGGAGTGGTAAAAGAACCAACATATTTGTAATACTTGTGCACATTTTTCCTAACTTCTGTGGGATGGAAAGGTCCTACTGTAACTGGAGTTTCTTCATTATTTGTACGAACCTCATTTGCCAATTCACTTAATTTGTTCTGTATCTGTAAGTGGAGAAATACTAAAAATGTTTAGAACGTTTTTTATTTTTATCCTTACTTGGTAAAGTTTGTGAGCTGTCTAGTCGAGTCTAATACAGTTCTGTACATTACAAAAAGTGTAGATATTGCTCGAAATATACCTTCTCGATAACTGGATCGGGGCGTCCTAACTGGAAAAGGATGCCCACAACTGAAACGCTGCCATCGTCGGCTACGTGCACCAGATGAAGCTCTGCAGCAAATCTGAATTATGATACATATGTCAGCTAAGGTTTTGCTTGCAAAGTTATTACTACAGTCTACAGATCGTGTGGACCTCAATTTTTCAGTGAACGCGTGGCCAACAGAATTCCAATCACCTCCCCTTCACATAGGAATAACTAACATATTAGAACACACGGTTAAGAGGCAAAGGTCGTCGGCCAAGAAAAAGTTTCGGCGATCATTTGCACTCAGATGATCAAGTCAACAGCCGAATAAGAGATAATAAATGCAACAGATGAGAGAAGGGGTTTGGCTAGAGTTCTATCGGCCATGTGTTCGTGCAAAAATTGAGGTCAACAGATTAGCGCTGTATGTGGAGTATGTGTGCCTGAGAATGTGTGTATGAAATAGAGCCATAAATGTGTCAAAATGTGTCGAGTGGCATAATCCAGCTTGTGACATGACGTGCTATTGGCCAGCCCACCTACACAGCCAGGACGTGTGATCTGGGCTGTAGAGGCCCGAACTGACCGTGCCAGACCAAAACCGGCCGTGATGCGTGAGAGAGAAGGAAACAGGGAGAGGATTTACTGCTGGCCATCGATTCGGTGCTCCGAAGGAGAATGCCAATGCATTTGCTTCAAGGAATACTTCTTGTCATCCACAATCAACTTTCCACAATTGCTAGGGTAAACCACCTGCATTAAGAGTTTAATCAAGACTCGATCAATCACTGTTAATGATAATATTTAAACGATATAAATGTGATCTCAACTAGTGATTTAAGTAATTTTAAAATCAAACGACTATACAAGGTATCATACTAGACAAATGTCTTAAGGCTCGCTGTCACCCATTCAGATTTTCTTCCAACTTTTCGGCTATTCTACAAAAATCCTCGTGTTCTTTTTTATCTTATTAGTCTATATTACTAATTCCAAAAGAAGATCAAGATCTAAATCTAGAAGTAGGCCTAAATTTCCTACATAAAACTTTTGGATGAACAAGAAAAGTAGTTAAGAGGAAGACTAACCGCAACATTGAATTTATTATTGACCAAAGTAACATTTACAGAATTATATTCTCTGATCAATGGTTTCAACTTCTTGTCAACTACAACTTTAGCTTTCACAATGTTAATTGGAGACTGTGATTTCCCATTTGCGCACATAGTGAATTTCGGGTCTAGGCTTCCCCACTTGTTCGGCCCAGTGCCACCCGAATAAGTGAATAGCATGTGTTGATAAACTTCTACAAGAATTCAAAAAGAATAGCCATAAAAATCGTGATTAAAAGGCAAAAAATTATTAAAGAAAAGAAAAAGAAAGTATAGAGCATACGTTTTTTATCAGCAGAAGAAGAGTTAACAAGGGAAAATGTGAGTGTAACGATGAAGAAAGCAGTGGTTATAGCAGCCATGGAAGAGTAGCTTCTTCTTCTCCAACACGAACAAAGTATCCTAATTAATTTGATCCAATAACACTGCAACTTGCTGTTAAAATTTGGAGTGTATATATAAATTAATAGACCTTCTCTCTGTTTGTGCCCACCACTCCACTACTGTTTCCTCTAAACTTTTCGAACTCCCTTGAACTTATTTGTGGCTCTATATATGCATGTTCTTCCACCCCTGCCTTACCTCATTTGCTTTTGCTTTCGCTTTCCCACCTTTTTCTAAAACTGGCTTTTTTTTT